CCACTCTGCATGAGCCTGGTGTTTTTATTGCGCTCTTTTGTCCCAGCCTCGATGAGCTTTACTTGACTGGAGCCGAACGTTATAGAGGTGACGCCACACTCACTTACTGTAATCCACTTCTTTATTCTGCACTTGGATGCTGCGCTGGGATACACAGGAGTGATCTCATGTTTACAGAGAGAGCGCTAACAGGCTGGACACCGTTCTAAGTGTAGGACATGAGGCGTGTGGACAGGAGCCAGAGGAGGGCCCATTAAAGTGATGGAAAAGTGCTATCACAGGAGCCTACTGCTGCACAAACCATATACACTATCCATATTTCAAAGCTACAGTATGTCCACTCATCCTGTGCTGTGGACTCCAGAGTCATCGCCGTAAACACTGGCCTTTACACTTCATATCGACCTCAGATATAGAAACAATAAACATGTATTCTGTTGTCATTGACTCTGTGTAATAAATATCAGGTGTACTCATAAAAATGTTGTCACTTTTATCTCTCCCTGCCTCCAGAGATGACCACTGGTGTGATTGGACCCAGGCCGTCAGGGGTTCAGACATGCACTCTTCAGAACTTTTTAGCAGAAATCTCTTACACGTTTTGTTTTGTTTCTAATATTACAATTTTAGTGTAGAGCTTTGTACATCGCTTTGTGCATTTGTGGACAGGGAAGATCTATAAGTTATAGAAATATATAAGTTTGATTTCTCGCTTGCTCTGTGGAGCTTTGGCCAATCAGATTCAAGTATTTATCATGATGTTCCCCTTTTTCCACACCTCTTTCAGTGAGAGCTGGTCCAGACTGATAATGTCCACGTTTACATGATGTTTTTTTCATTCTGAATTAATTGTTCTGAATTCAGTTGAAATTAAATTTAAATATTGTCATTCGAGTTAAATGGAAATAATAATTCCAAATTGAGGTTTACATGGAAAACACATTAAATCGTCTTTATTTAATTCTGCTCAGTGTCAGGGGGTGGGGAAGGGTTCTGATTGGACAGAGACACAACCGACCGGAAGAAAACACACACTTTTAGCTTTTTTGTCATCTCGGTTTGTACAAACTTTTTCCACAGTCATTCTGATAATTGTGCTGGAGAATTGTCTCATCACACTTTACGTCTGTCAGCTGAGGAGGAGAAGGGAAGAGTGTCGGAGAAGGAGGAAGAAGACAAAGTGAGTGTGAGGCTGCTCTACCTCAGCCCACTCCCACATCCTGCTCACAAATCCAAAGAGACGTGGATGAAAGTCCAAAACCTGGACTGGTGGAGCCAGATCGTCTGAATCGCGTCAGAAGAGCGACACAACGAGCATGTGCTAAACCACTGTATAACCCAGGTTCTAAAAACGTGCCTAACCATGTTGAATAAAATATTTGTTATTTCTACCTGTACGTAAACCACGTAAAGTCACGTGACGCTACGCACACACAGCGTGCGATCATCCAATCAGGTCTCTGGCAGCGCCCGATACAAGCCTCCTGTGGCTGCTCTCCGTCATTCAGGAGTTGGGGAGAGGAGCCACAGGACTGCTGCACAGGTGAGCCACACAAATACAACTTCTTCTTTGATGTATCCGCTCTAAAACTAAAATTGTAACTTACATTTTAGAGGTCTCATTATCACCGCAGAGGACATGTTCTAGCTGCGCAAAGATTTCAAGTGGGATTGGTGAGTCTGTTTGTTGTTTACCGAGTTGTTAGCATTAGCAACTTATGCCACTAGCATTTTACACTTGTTGTTTCACCTCCCGATTGTCATTCATATGCAAATGTCGCCAATTGCAGGTCATTGTTCCGACCCTACAGTGCATTACCAATGCATTTAAAAGCCATTTAAGCCCATTTGATTACCATGCAAGTGCAATTTGTTAGTTGTCTGTATGTGTATTCTATCAATGAAATGCACTTTTAAAGGGAAATATTATTGAATGTGCACTCTGTAAATAATGTGTATACACTGACACTGATATTGATTAATTAATTGAAATTTATATAGCTAGCTAATTGAATTATTCCATTACTTACGGTCCTATCTGTTACTATACAGGCCAGGTGTGCCCCATTGGGTGCAAACCCCCCTTCGATGGCGAACTAGAACAGCCCATGAACCCGCGTGAACCATATCATCATTCTTTCTGCGGTCTGGTAGGAGGCTGTACAGCCAGTCCACTCCCCACCCTGTTTCTACCCACTACTCATTCCTACTACTGTTTTTTGTGCTTAAGGACAATTCAAACCCCCGGTCAAAATTCTGGACTCTCATACTCACTACTACCTTGTGGAAAGTGAGATAGTGACTGTACTGCTATTGCAGTAAATGGTTGGGAGTAAGGAAAAAAATCACTGGACTCTACTACTGTACTGTTTAAACTGTATATATGGTTACACATTCATTCTAAGAAAATCTGTCAAATGTACCTCAACTATTATTGGTATCAAGCTTGATCACTAATCTGCAGAGTTGTAAATATTGTTTTTGTTTTTTCACTGTAAGCACTGTTAATACATGGCACCAGCCACTAAATCATAATTTCTGACTCAGTATTATTCTGTCACGCACCTCCCAGAGCCGATACCTTCTTCTTCTGATCTAGCCTGCAATAATCTTTATTTCATTTTGGCAAGCATCATCATATATGCTACAACTGCAATTATTTTTAAGAAGTATAACCATTTACATAATCCAGGAATAAAATAATTCAGGTTTAAAATCAGAATAAACCATCCAATTACTTCAAAATTAAGTTTAATTCTGAGTCATTATTTTCATTAGGAATTAAGTGTTTATGTGGTCCTTTTTAAGCAGAATACATTTTATTTTAAATTCTTGCTCTGACGTAAATGTGGCAAATGTGTAACTCGTTTCAGTCAGACATTGACAGACCCGAGCCATGGGAGTCAGCTTATATGAAGTAAACATTAACTTAAAACTGAAATGTACATGACACATAATATGCTAAAGTCTGTTTACATCTCCAAAGCTTAAAATGCTCTGTTCCACCTTGTGATGTCATGTAGTGGTAGTTTCCATGTTACTTCTGAGTCTAGTGAAGGTGTATGGAGTTAAAAAACACAACACTTCCTGTATTACCACATGACATCACAAGGTAGAAGAGAGTGTTTTCCATTTGAGAGAAGAACTTGGCTTAAATCTTCAGGGTTTTTGTGTTAAACACAAAAAAACACAACAGGAAACAACATAACACAGATCAGAAAACAGCGTCATATGGGCCCTTTAATTCAGTGCTTTTCCAGGTCGTTTCACCTTGTTTAGTCATGATTTTGTGTGCTCCTGTCCTGTTGGTACTGATGCTGGAAGCTTTAAGAAGCGGTGGAAGTGTGGGCTGAAAAATGGCGCAGCTCGTGGATCATTAACCAGCCGGGATTACACGCTCTGATGAGCCCCATCAGCTCAGGACGAGGGAGCATTTTTCACACATCCGTGCACATTTTAACAGACTCCAGAGCCACACAGCACATTATCTGCACCTCAATGACAAGCAAAGAGCAGCGAAAATATCACCATCATCACTTTATGCTACTGTCCAGTTGTGACCACGACACGCTCCCCGCAGACACTCCACCTGCTCCATGAAGCTAATGAAGGAAGAGGCACGGGCCGTAAATTTCATGACACTTTAGTCACCTGACAGGACAGAGCGGGTGGACGTTTTAACAGCTCAATAACGCCAGAGAATGGAGCGGAGGTCTGGAGAGAAGACTGTTGTGCACGGCAGAGGAATATAATGGGGTAATCAGGTTTATAATGTTGAATAGGGAGTGATTGAAGGAAAACTCACTCAGAGTCCTGCACCCAGGCGGGTACAGGCGAATAGTGGCTGAAACGGGCGGGTTTTAATGTTCTGGAATTTTACGGATGGGTATACGGGTGGGTAGTGATTACACACGGGTGGGTCAGGCCTAAACCAGGACTAAACCAGGACTAAATCAGGTCTAAACCAGGTCTAAACCAGTTCTAAACCAGGTCTAAACTACTTCTAAACCAGGACTAAACCAGGTCTAAACCAGGTCTAAACCAGGTCTAAGCCAGGTCTAAACCAGGTCTAAACCAGGTCTAAACCAAGTCTAAACCAGTCTAAACCATGTCTAAACCAGGTCTAAACCAGGACTAATCTTGGATCTAAGAGAGAGAACCCCAAGCTTGTGGAGCAGGGTGTCCGCAAAGCGTGATCAGGCGACAGCTGCACTTACGTCCGTGGGGCACGGAGCTCTACGCCAGTCGTTTTGTCTGCAGTCACCCAACAGTCTAAACGGGTGCACCTCTGAGCCTGTCCCAACAGTGAGTCCTGGTTCAGTTCTGGTTTGGTCCTGGTTCAGTCCTGATTGAGTCCTCCTGATTCAGCCTGGAATCAGCCCTACGTTAGCCCTGGTTTAGACCTGGTTTAGGCCTGGGTTAGTCCTGGGTCAGTCTGTGGCATGTGAGGCACAAAATCCGGCATCTCGGTCAGTGTTTCTTCTGCTCAGTAAATAAGGCCTGTGAAGTGATGACAGTCGAGTTTCGTCTGTGAATTCGTATTCGTACTGAAGAAAGCACAACCGATTTATTTCATTTCGTGATTGTAATTCTTGAAGTCGTAAATTTAACAGGTCCGGGCGGGTGTGGGTTTAACTTTGATATAATCACGGGTTAATGGGCGGGTGAGAGAATTCTCCAGCTGCTGCTTCATTATCATCAGAATGACTACAAAAAAGTTTGGCTCATGTTTGTGTCGTAACGGCGTAACGACAAAATGAGATGACAAAAAAGTCGGTAAAAGCTGAAGTGTGTATTTTCTTCTGGTTGACGTAAATATGTTTGTGTCAGAACCCTTCCCGAACCCACAATGTTGAGCAGAATTAAATAAAGGCGATTTAACATTTTGGAATTATTCCATGTAAAATCAAAGGATAATATTTTAATTCAGAACAATTAATTCGGAATTAAAAAACATCATGTAAACATGGCTTGTGTTTCGAATGAAGCTGCAGACTTACCCTTATCGGCCACAGACAGGGTGCTGTTGAAGTACTGCTCCTCCACAGCCCAGGTCGCCTCATTCATTTTGTTGGAGATTCCACATGAGCCCTGGCAGCTCACCTTGATCGCTGCAGTGACAAGAGACAGAAGACAGCATTCGTTATTATTATTATTATTATTATTCATTCATTAATAACTAAGAGGAAAGAAACAGGACCTCATGACATAAATACTGTACACAAACCAAGTGTTTTTGAGTGTTCAGAGAAGACGAATTTGGCTGAATGGATGAATGAAACAAGCGTGAATGAAGCAAAACACAAATAAAGATATGTTTTTTACAAGGGAGAAACATAATATAAACAATTTTGCATATGTGCCCTTTAGGTTAGGGTTTAGATTTAAAGTGTGACTAAATACCTCAACTCTGTGTGTGTGTGTGTGTGTGTGTGTGTACTGCAGCACTGTTACTGATACTTCTTCATAATGTGCCTATAATGTCATTTACACTGAACATCCTCCACGAGAAAAACTGCAGAGTAACAGTGAAGTGCATTAATAAAATATAAAATATATTCAGTTTTGAGAAAATATGTTTTAGTTTCTTCAATTATTATGTATTATTATTTATCAGATTTTGTACATTATCAATTATTTAATATATTTTTTATTCTGAGTAATGTCTTGGACCACAACATGAGTGATTTTGTTTTGAAGTAACACTATTTTTATTTGAGTAAAGGTTTTGGCTACTATCACTAGACGTTCATTTTAAAGGGACAGTATGTAGTCTGTGCTCTTACGGGTTTAAAAAGTACAAAAATCATAACTGAATCTGTGTCCTCAGTGCCTTAACCTGCAGATAGAGACACTTCCAAGTTTGTCTCAGTCTCAGTATATGGACCATGGCTCATGTAAAAGCTCAGAACTTCCAGAATTCCCTCCCTGAGCTGCAGAGGCTGCATTAGCACTGACTCGAGATTGGCTGCAGGTTCTGTGGTTTAGGGCCTGTTCTTATTAGTAGTTTAGTTGTAGACAAAGGCACTTGTCCAGGGGCTTATGGACATGATGTGACCACAGAGGTTCATGAGAGCAGACCACAGCTCCTGTCCAGCAGCAGTGGGACATGTTGGAGGACAGGCAGGTCTTGAGCTTCAAAGTCTAGCAACAGCAGCACTTGAGAGAAGTGCAGTGTGGGCCCCTGCTCCAGCTGCTGTGGCTCCTGAGGCTCGGGCTGGACAGCAGTAGTGGTGCCCTGCAGGTGGTGAGGAGAGTTTCATTGTCACAGCTCCAGTCTGAGCTGACGACGCATTTCAAGATGTTACGTTTTAATACTTGTGTTGCCAAAGCAGAACAGAATGTCCAGTGTTAGTGCAGTCTTTGGTGTCCTGCAGAGAGACAGTACTACACTACACTACACTACACAGTAGAGCTGGTATCATTAAGAAGTGGCCAATACGATACATATCTCGATACAAAGGCCATGATACGATACATATCTTGATACAGTGCACTTTCGATTCGATACGATATATTTCAAATTGATTCGATATGGTTCAATAAAAATAAAGACTAAATCATGGCTGTGACACTAAATGTCGTTGTTAAACCACTTCTTGTGTAAAGTTCATATGAAACACAAACATTTTAATCAAAACAGTGAAAATGTCAAATGTGCTGCATAAAGGAGTTTCCTTCCCCTAAACAAACAACAAAACTGTGTCTCTGTAACAAAATAAGTTTAGTAAAATATACCAAAAGTTCTCTTGAAGATATACTGATACATCAGCCCACAATGTTGATACTATATCATACGATATATCGATATTTAGATATTATGCACATCCCTACTACACAGATCATCAAGCAAGCCAACACTGGCCTGTGTGGATTCCCGCAACTGCCAACCCAAATGAGTCACTGATGTGAGGCTCATTCTGATAATCATCTTCAGAACCAAAACACAAAATGATGTCATCTTGGCCTTCATGTCCAATGTTTTTGTAATTAAGTTTTCAATAATTAGCAATATCATAATATTCTGAGTGAATCTGCAGAGTAAACTATAAAAATGAAATGACATTACTGACTACTGATTATATTAGACAGTGTATCAGTTTGATTTTTGAAACTCAGATCACTGATAATGAAAGTCCGACAGCCCTGCAGGCTCTCTCAGATCAGTTATAGTGCTCATTCATCGTCGCACTAATTGCGTGTCCCTTTTTTAGTTTTCACATGAGGACACTGTGTCCCTCCCACTGTCTCCTGATACAGATCAGTCTGGGCACAGGCAGACTGCTGAATCAGAGACACACTCACAGCACACACCCTCCCGACCTGAGCTTTGTCTGGGATGCACGAGTCCTACATAATGGTTTGGTAGAGGAATGGTGCTTTAGTGTGCTTTCTTCTACAGCTACAGTCAAACAATACACTTTAGAGAGTGTTCAGAGGTGAACAGTGCATTTACTTGAGTATCTTTTTAGTCAAAAGGTGTTCCTCACAGTACTTTTCAGACACCACACCAACAGTTCTATGTGTGTAAAATCCCTCAGTCGTTCAGGTAGAATCCATGCAAAAGGAGAAGTTCAGTTTGTCGACTGGACTAAAGTTTATTTGGTCGAATACGTTTCTCAGTTCATCCAAGTTCATTCTTCAGTTCACATCAGACACTGGTGGACACTTCCTTATATCTGTCTGCAGGGAGGAGCTAACTACACTGAAACTAATACTCACACTTGTTTACAGATTCTGTTTAGTTAGTTAGGCCTATTGAACTGCACTGAGTGAGGGGACATATTAGCAGAACCATTCATGTACATCTCCACCTAAAAACCACAGGCCACTCTTTTAAGGACAGATCTGAGCCAGAGAAAAGAATTGGTTTGAGAGGGGAGTGAAAGAGGCTGTTTTTGTTAAGAGAGAATTCTTCTCTAAACAGAAATCGAGGCATCAGACATCATCTATCTCCAACTCCATCTTCAAACCTAATTCAAAACAAACAAGAGAATTATAGGTGTAGCCAGGTCAGGTCCAGAGGTGTGAAAGCTCCACTATGGCCCTGAATTGTTCTGCTAATATGACCCCACACCCAGTACAGGTCAATAGGCCAAACTAACATACAGAAACTGTAAACAAGTGTGTGTGTTAGTTTCAGAGTAGTCAGCTCTTCCCTGCAGACAGATATAAGGAAGTGTCCACCAACATCTGACCACAACTGAAGAAATAACTTGGATGAACTGAGAAACATATTCAACCAAATAAACTTTTGTCCAGTCGACAAACTGAACTTCTCCTTTGGCAACAGAACTATGGTTAATATCTGGGTTTCACGTGACGTCACAGGGCTACGTTTGTCAGCGCAAAATCAGACGGAGAGCAGGAGGTGAACTGACTGGAGGAAAATGCCGATGTGTTGTGTAGTTTACGGCTGTGCCAATTGTTCTAACTGAGAGAAGGAAAAGTGATTTTTTTAGAGTACCGAATATAGTCGTCCACAAAGGTCAGAAATGGGAAAAGCCGACAGAACAACACCGTAAAAAGTGGATTACAAACCTGTTTGCGGTCGGGAGGAGCAGAATTCGCTAATGCTCGTGTCTGCAGTGAACACTTCATCAAAGGTTTGTTACAAAGCTAAATTGTTTTTTGTGGTTTATCTAAACATAAACGAATCATTAACGACTAACGGCTAACGACATTTGTTGACATTAAATAGTTCAGATTGAGGTCACTGCTGATACACTGCAGTTTTTCCCATAACGTCTATACACATAAAATAAGACAAACACTCACCCCGGTGAAGACCAAACCTTAATCATCATTTAGGCGTTTTGCACCGAGGTTGAGGATCCATCCACTCACAAAAAAAGTGATATGCCTCAAACTTTTGTACTTTGCCTTCATCTGTTGTCTGGTGTAGAACGATGTCTGAAGAGCTAAATAGTTCGTGATCTCCTCTGCCTCGATTGTCGGCAAATCTTTTACTTCGGTTGAAAATTCTCTCATTTTCAATAAGATGGTGTCACGTCCAATATATTTGTCGACTAACTGCTCATACTTTTGCCTTGCTACTGGCTCTAAATCCTGACAATAAGAACTCTTCTCCATATCTGTGTTCTCCAGAGCCGTGTTTGTCGTGTTTGTCTTCACTTCCTGCCCTCCACCTGAAATTCGCGCATCATCGTGATCACGTGACTGAAACCCTCCTATTGTCCCACTGTGAGTAAGTCTATAAGTGACAAAAGCTGCATGTGACAATCTGAAATGATTTGAACATGTGTGTTTCCTGCAGCTCCTTCACATATGATTTAGTCCAAATAATTTCCCTTGTGGATCAATAAAGTTTGTCTAAGTCTAAATCCTCCGAAAACACCAGATTTTGTGCAAGTTTTCAAATGACATTTACTTTACATTATAAATCAGACACTCTTACAACATGACTTTAACTTTCATCAAACACCTTTTTACTTTAACTCTGCACTTTGAGCTAAACTGGACCTCAAACACAACACACACATACAGATAACACAATAACACAAAGTCAGCAGACAGCGCTCACCCACATGTGCTTCTACACAAGTCACAACTCGCTCTGATTTGCACATTCAAATATGAGCCTGATTCAGAGCAGAAGAAATCACTCGTGAACAGAGTCTGTGCACAATGTAGGCTCTTCTCACGTACTTGTACTAAAGTGTGTGTGATGGAGGAGATACTCAAGTCACTACAACATAATTACCAACACTGTAATATTCTGGAGGAGGCACATCACCTGCATGATTCTACAGAAACAGAAAGTTAAAACCATACCTCAGAACATTCTCCATGGAGATACTTTTTTTTATTTTGGGCAAGTAAGCATTTTACATTCTTTTATAAGGGAACACTTTTACTCTCTGGTTTTTAACACTGCATGAGTTGTGTGGTCCTCTGTCTCTTCTAATGAATTGCATTTATTATTAGTAGTATTATTAGGGGTATTATTAATAGTAGTATTAGTATTAGTAATAGTAGTAGTAGTAGTAATAGTAATAGTAGTAGTATTAGTATTAGTATTAGTATTAGTATTAGTAGTAGTAGTAGTAGTAGTAATAGTAATAGTAGTAGTTTTAGTAGTAGTAGTAGT